GTTGTGAATGCTCCAACACTGGAAGTCTTTAAGAAGATGTTGGATAACCATTTGTCTGAAGTGCTGTGGGGTTTCCTGCCTAAGAAGGGGGTTGAAGACATCCAAGGTCTCTTCCACTCTGTTATTCTATTCTATTCTGTTCTGTTCTGTTCTGTTCTGTTCTGTTCTGTTCTATTCTATTCTATTCTATATAATATTGCCCACTTCTGATTTGAGGACTCTTTACAAGAACAAAAGCTAAATAAGACTATCAACACTGTTGAGTGTTTTCCTTCCCTACACATACGACTCAACGTTTTGGGGTTTCATCCATTCAAACCATAGACATGACTTACTGGGAACAGGCCAACCATACTCTCCTGCCCCCACCAAGCAGTCAGCTTCTGCAGAAGATGATGAGGTAGCTCAAGCATGATGCTGGAGAGAGTTATTGGACTAGAAGCATAAGAGATCCTGAGAGAGAATTGTAAGAGCCAGCATGGTGCAGTGTGGGCACAATGTTGGAGAAGGAATAGGGAGACTCACTGAGTCTCAGCTATAGAAGCAGGTGGTTGTGTGGAAAATAAGAGGAAGAAGTATTATGTTTGCCATCTTTAGCTTCTGCTTGAAAAGCAGGATAGAAATCTAATTAAATATTAACAACTCAATGGCAATTGTTCTAGCATTCTCAATAAGGATTCTGACATTAAATTAGATGGGAATTATAAAAACCTTCAGCACCCTTTCTCAAAATGGTGTTCTCCAATTTTATTGGACTACCCATTCCTGGAAACCTCGGACCATAATACCAAGGGTTGCAATGCTTGAGAATGCTAGGACTTGTCATTACAATATTTGGTTCTTGACAACTGGACAACAATTAAATGAAATAACAATAATTTTTGCACCCTCAATCTGACAGAAAGCCTCTATCTGGCGAGGCCAGAGTTTGAATAGCCTCTACACCCACCTCCAAGGCTGCATGAAAGAGCTGGCGTATCTCTCAGAGCAACAGCAGAAGATCTTGAAGCAGGACTGGAGTGATCAAATGATTGAGCCCCAGTCAGTCCGGCGTGAGTATGAGGTAAATGAAAAGTTGGATGTCAAACTATATCTGTAGGTGTGGGAATTCTTGATTCATGAGGTTCCCCATGTCACATCTCTGCCCATATACAGTACTACATACACTTTTGTAGGAAAACCCAGGCAAAAATCTCCTCCAGCCATACTGATTTCAACAAAATCTACTCATTGTTAAATGTAGAGGTCAATGTCCATTCTTTCAGGGTCCATTCAAACTTGTGATGGTGTTGAATAAGTGATGCTTGTAGCTCCAGCTGTTGCAATGCCCCCCGCATTCACATGATTGCAATCCAGGTGTTCAACAAGTGGCCCAGATTTCTGACTGTTGCAACATCATCAGTCACGTGTTTGTGATTTGCAATGTTCTGGGCCAGTTTCCTATACGCAAAGTCAATGAAGAATCTGGCAGAAAGTTGGAAGTCATGGTCATGTGAAGTCCTTGTTTAACAACTTGTGATGATTCACTGCTCAGTGGTAACCAGGAATGGCCATCACTGCCATCACTGGGCAGTGTCATCCTTTGACATCATGCTTTTTAACCGCATTGCTTAGTGATTGAAATTCCTATCCCAATTGCCACCATGAAGACTCCCTATACTTGCATTTTGTAAATAACCTAATAGTGCTCTTGCAGGGTTGTGGTGGCTTCCAAAGAAGTAAATTGCCTTTTCCCACTAGTCTATTTGTGGCATATGTATCATTTACATCATTCAGCTCATTCATTGTGGCCACTTATACTGTATTGACTCTTTCTTCCTTCTCTTCAGGAGTTCAGAAACAATGAGCTTCTTAACCAGGAAGAGTATGTGAATATGCTTCAGGATGATGGAGAACGGATGATTGAACTGAAGCATCCAGCAGTGACCCCAATTCAGGTAAATATCAAATTTCAGACATCAAAAGGACCAGACTCTTTTCATTAGTTTGATTATCTGAAGAATATTTGCCCTATTCTTCTAAGGAACTAACAAAGGTTTTTTTTAAAAAAAAAGAAAGAAAAACAAGAACAAAGGTAAGTTCCTGTCTTCAGACTAACAAAATTAGATTGGAGCCAAAACTTAATAGCAAAAGGAAAACAAATGTTGCCACCTGTTCTTAATTTCAAACATCTCTTGGTTCACCGAGGAACTCCGGGAGATGAAGCGCCGGAGGAGATGCCTAGAGCACCGTTGGAGGTCCGATAA